ATCTTAATAAAACATGAAATAAATTTGACAATTTTTAAAAATATCTGCTTATCACTGAAAATATTTTGTATCAATTAAAACACACTACGTTTATAATCTTGACTCTTTAATAAAACTTAAGTATTGCCATTTAATGTATTTGAAAATATTTTGGGCAATAAGTGTATAAGGTGGTCTGTGTAATAGTTAAATTTATGTTAAAAACTCAAATTAATGTTACAATTACATATTTATCAAGTGCTAATACCTCCATTTTAAAGTTGATGAAAAATTAATTTGTTTGAAGTTCCTGATAAAAAAATTCTGCTAATAATTTTTCACGAAGATCCCACGAACTCTTCATTTTTGTGCAAATAATCATTGAAAAACAAAAAATGAGCCTAGTTGGATTAAAATCTGTTGATGAAATTCTGAGATATCATGAAATATACACATACAAACAGTTTTGGTGCAACAATGTACTTGCAGTCAAGATAAAGAAAATATATTTATAGCATATAATTATGATCCGATAAAATGTCGGAATAATGTAGCAATATTTGCTGATAGATTTAGTCATTAGTTATTTTTTATGTTTCTGCAAATCCACTTATCTACGCTTTAATTACCAGGAACGTAAGATATGGTTTGCAAAATAATGTTGTCATTAACTCTTTGAAATACATTGTTTTGTCTTCATAAATAATACAATAATTTTCAATGTCATTCCTTACATCGTTCGACGTTGTACACAACACTCATTTGAATATCATATCTTTAGTTTAAACTCAGTGACTTTTCAAATTTTAGATATTTTGTTGTCGGAATTTGTCAGTCATAATAGTTTAAAATTAATTAATACTATTATTTAATTAGTTTACATTACTATTTAATAACGATTGTATTCTGGTAACGTTTTATTCAAAATTCTGTCATTGTACAAAATAATGCTTAAGATTAAAAAATAACTGAAGTCTATTATTAATTATAAAAAAAAAAAATTGAAATACCAATATGAAATTTAGTTTTATTAGAAAATCACAGTATCTACTGCATGAATATAAAATTAAAAAATTCCAACTAGCAAAGGATTCCAATGTATGGCAACGATTCCAGTACTTTTTATAATTTCATATTGGTA